CCAATATACTAATACTCAATCAAAGTCATAAGGAACAAAATTAGACACTTCTTCTCTATCAGTTCTAGTAGGTTGAATAAAGAATCGACCGACCTACTTCCATAAATCAATCAATGATTCCTCGTTTTAAGATAGAAATAGGTTGCGATAGGTGCAAACATCATAAACTTAAAGATCCAATAGCCACCACTCTCTGTTGTACAATCAAAATTTTATTCACTCTATCTTCAATCTCAAGAGGCATATGTTTCAACCAAAAATTCAATTTCCAATCCTCCTTCTGGAACTCCATTTATTGAACTCCATTCGATTAGCCATGGATTGGTATAGCCGTATAGGAGTTGAAATCTTCTACTTGCCCAGTTTAAATCTCCAACAATTAAATCGTATTGCAAAGAGATAGCAGAAGATTGATTTTCAAAGGCGGCTTTGTACTGTGAACTGAAAGAAGCGCAAACTACTGCACGATGAAGGGAATTTCTAAGGAAGTTAGAAAGAGATAAGAACAAAGATAAAAAAAGTACTAAATTTAAATATAAATGAAAATGCAAGGACACAACACGTAGTAATAGAATTAGTTTCTTTCATGTTGGCCAATTACCAATTTACCTTTAGTGAAAAATAAGGAGGGAGCACTAATTTTAGAATTGAGAAAACTACATGAAACTCTGCTATGAAAATTGGAGTATCAAGCACCATAAAAATAAATACGGTAGACTTAGTGGCTGTTTAATCATGATGGAAAAGTCCTCCGATTTTCAGAGTGTCACTTTGTCTATGTTTTGTATTAAAAAGGATACAACAAATTCTTTAGTGTAGTTGGTTGTGATTGTTGTCTTTGTTTGAAGAGACTCGGGTTTAAATCTAGATATTGAGAATTTTTATACGGAATATATAATTAATTGTAAAGACACAAATGCCCTTCCTACTTTCACTCTCGTTGCAGGAAATTTGAAATAGAGAAAAGTAGACAAACTCTACTATATATTATTGGAGGATTACGTCTTCTTGAGCCATGAGGTTGGACCAGTACTAGTCATGTGTTCGAATCTCTACAACTCTAAATGTTAACAGTTGATTTAACCGCAATGTATGTAAAGCCTATGCAAATTTCAATATTGTAAGTTGGTTTTCATTTGAGGAAGTGTGTTAGAGAATATTACAAGATCTATCATTAACCTTCTTCTAAAAACTCGAGTTATTCCAATCAAACTGAAAAATGTTTTTCACCACGACTAATTAATATCCTAAAAGTGATTAGGAAACTTTGCTAATTTTGTACTCATTACGTTGAAATGAGACAATGACCAATACAGTTGAGGAAAGATATTTTAGTGGCGACAAGACTTGTTAATCACATGTGATCGATCAAGTTGATTAATTATTGAGAAGTATGGGTGATGGGTCCAATTCGTTTTCTTTTTCTTTGAAAAGGGTCCAATATAATTGATTATCCGACTCAGAATTTTCCACATATATATATATATATATATATATTTATATATATATATATATATATATATATTTTTAAATGAATGAATCGGTATATTATATCATAAAATAACTAATTAATTACTAACAACAATTGCTGTGTCACCAACCTTCTTCACGCCTCTTCATGGTTCATGCAACGTATCAAGGAAATAACCCATTGCTAAATATCATAGGCCGTATATCAAAGTTAATTTGTAGCATCAATTATTGAAACTATATAATTAAACACTTATCTAATTAACCATCTCATCCATAGCTTGAAAATATCCATAGGGTATGGGCCTGCTGCTAAAAAAAGCAAACACTTTAATACCTTACAGTAGCTCTTGTCTATTTCATGGATGATTGAGCACCTAATTAAATAACTACACACTAGAAATGATGAGACCATGGTTGTCATGCTTTGAAACTGGTTCAACCTGTGTCGGTCATGAAACCGGCATGACACCACCTGTATGACCGGTATGATCGATCGACTTACGCATTCTAAGTAAAATGATATCATTTTAATGAATTTAATGAATAAAAATAATAATTTATTATTCATTTTATGAATGTAATAGTTAAAAGTTGATGATATTTGTTGGATTGTAACTAAATTGTCCCCAAATATGTTTTATATATGATTAAATACATTGGATATTAATTGTTTTCACATTTTTTAGACCGGCATGAACCGGCACAAACTGGTTATACCACTGATCGTACCATTCCACTTGCCAAACCGGCACAACGGTATAAACCGGTTTGACAACCTTGGATGAGACTCACAAAACATATAATAAGTTCTATGTGAAACTCATCTATCTAGTCTAGTAGCTAGTTAAATTATCGAGAATAAGAAAGATTATACGAATCTATCACGTAACTGTTTGTTGAAACCGTGAAATTAAAATGACAATTTACGAAACTGATAAGAATATGTGAACCGATAAATTTGTGGTTTTCTTCTAATACCTCATTAGCTCTTCTTTGTGAAAGTGTATTCACCTTGACCTGGATAATTAGAACAAATCATATGCGTGGGAAGGTGAAATGATTAATTAAGTCCAATTCATTGAATTACTATGCAGTTGAAACACAATATTACATTTAGAGAATTACCTACATTCAATGTTTGTGAGTTTCGACTAATTCCATAAAGTGATTACGAAAAGTTGCTAATTTTGTACCAATTTCGTATGAGACAATGACAAATACAGTTGAGGAAGATATTTAGTAGATTAGCTCCCAAATCTTATATGCAAAGATGTAGGGCTGAAAATTTGTTTGTTCTGTCTCTGACTCGTCCCTCATCCTGTCTGACCCGTCTTTGAAAGGTCAAGATGTATAACTGATCCGTCCCATTTCTATCTCCTTCTTGATCCTATATGACCTTGAAGGGTTGGAACGGGTCGGGTCAGTGGGTCGACCGTAATCAACACAGTACCTTTTATAAATTAAAATTTGGTACTCAAAATTATTTTTTCTTATAATTTAGTACCTAAATTTTATTTTTTTACAAATAAGTCCATAAATTTTGATGGTAAAATTACGTTTTGGTACCCAAAATTTTTACAAGTTAGTACACAAACTTTTAAAACTTTACAAAGAGGTCCAATGTGTATGAGATAGTTTTGTTGCTAAGGGTCACAGGGTCAAAAAGTGACTCATCTCTAAGTTGTCCCTACCCGTCACGACCCTTACAGGGTCAACAAATGACTCGTCCTTAATCTGATCCTATAGACAAACTTACCTGTCACTACCTTAGAAATGAAATGACTCGAGATAGAATCAGTGGGTGTTTCGGGTCAAGCTTAAAAAAGTTCCGCTAATGGTACAATCTCTTTCCTCTGTGAAAGTGCTATTCCGTGACTTGACTCTTCACTGATTAGGTCAAGAGATGGAGAGACGTTGCTAATTTTGTACAATTTACATACTATCAGACAAGGACAAATACAGTTGAGGAAGATATTTTAGTTGAGAAAACTTGATAAATACATACATGTCCAATGATTCTTTTTGTTTTCTCAGAGAAGAGCCCTTCGGTACCCTTTTTCCAATTGGACAGAAGTTCTGATTGGTCTTCTTATCTACATTTCATCGAAAAATATCTGACATTTTCGCTAGTAGTCACTTTAGACTAGAACTTTGATGTTTTCTTATTAAACATGGTTCTTAATTAAATATAATATTTTCCTTTTGGTTGAAATTTACTTAATTATTATAAATTTATAATTAACTAAATATGAACTAAGAAACCCAAATTGTTCCTCTAGCTAGCTCTTACTGAAATCAATTTAGTTTAAATTGTACTTTAAAGTCAAAGAACTTACAATTTTACACTTTTAAATTATCAAAACGCTTTGACTTTAAAGTTCATTAGCTAGCTACCTCCTCCAGTTTCATCCACCGATGATCCATTCCTTTTGCCCAAATTTAACCCATAATTTCCTGCTCCATAACTTTTTTGAGCTCAAGATCTAATTGCACATTTTAACTGCATTGGCTAGAATGACGATTACACCTCACATTTTAACTGCATTGGCTAAAAATTAAATTTCGACTTAAAACGAGTGAGAAATCGTCCGTCAAAGATTAATAAGGGAAAAATTAAAGGCTTTGGAGACTGATGTGGACGGGTAAACTCATGGTTACTCACCATAAGGTTACTGACCTGATCCGTTCCCCCGACCTCCGACCCTATAAATTCGAAGCCTTCCATTCCCCATTCTTCACCATCACCACAACCAATTCCAACACAAGTTTTTCATTCATACACCCAAAAAATATATTTAGCCCCACCGCCCTAAACCAATCCAATCCAATCCAATCCAATGGCAGCTTCCTCCTCCTCCGCCATCTCGGCCGCTCTCCTCTCCGCCGTACTAACCATCTCACTACTCGCCTCCACGTCATCCGCCTCCAGCAGACCCCTCTCCGCCGCCGCCGCCGGCGCAACGACCAACACGGAGTTCATCCGCACGTCCTGCATCGCCACCACGTACCCTCAGCTATGCTACAACTCCCTTGCCGTCCACGCCACCAAAATCCAGACCAGCGCCAAGCTCATGGCCTCCACCGCCCTCGACGTCACCCTAGCGTCAGCGAAGTCAACCTCCGCCGCTATGGTCAAGCTCCAGCAGTCCCGCGGCCTCAGCCCCCGCGAGTACGTGGCGATGCGCGACTGCGTGGAGGTGCTGGGTGACTCCGTCGACCTCATCCGCCAGTCCATGGCGGAGATGGCGGCGAACAAAGGCGGCGCGGATTTCGGGATGATGATCAGCGACGTGCAGACGTGGGTCAGCGCCGCCTTGACCGACGAGAGCACGTGCACCGACGGTTTCGCCGAGAAGGCCGTGGCCGACGGGGAGGTGAAGACGGCGGTGAGAGGGAGGATTGAGACGATTGGTCAGCTCACCAGCAACGCCTTGGCTCTCATCAACGCCTATGCTACTCTCCATCACTAGATTATTATATATACATTTTACATTTTATGTTAATTAGTTGTTTGATAATCGTTAGATGCTGTTGTCAACTGTTGATTAGTAAGTGAAGCGTGTGAACTGTTAAAGACTGTTAATGAGTGATGTTAGTAACCTGTTATTTTGATTCAATACAAACCATTTTCCAATCGTTGTGAAAACCGTACCGGAAGCCATCTCAGAAAAGTTAGTGATTAGATATTTTGTACTGAAATCGTTATTGAGCCGTAATTCAACTATTTGGAACCATAAAAACCGCATGCTGTTTGAAACCCAACATCCGATATTTTCGATACCAAATATAGTTTAGTGGATTATTACGTCAACTTCTAATTCTCGTAAGTCGTATCTAAACCACTATATAACTAAAAGATGAAGGGAAATTACCACTTTATTATAAATATTTCATATTTACGCATGGAAATCACCAAACTTTCTCAATACATTATTAGAGCGAGCTATGGATAGTTCACTTTATAATCGGATTGAAAACAAGACATACTCTGATTTATTGACACGAAGAATAAACACGATTGTTAGAGGTCGCAATCAAGTCATCATCCAAGCAATTGATTTCGATGACTCACTTGATCGTTAAGATGACAGAGTGTATGACAAATTAGTATAATATTGTTCGTTTTTAGTCAAATTCATACAGATTTACTTTTTAATATCTTCTCAAAAGACCTCATACAAATGAAGTTTGGTGGACACTATATAAAGATATTTTCTTTTGTATTTTCAATATAGTATTTGAATTGTACACTAACACCAAGAATTTCAACGGATTTTTGAAGAAGAGAAAACAATTGCATAACAAGAAGAAAGGCTCATAATAACATATAAACCCAGAAAGCACAAGCAACGTGGCCATAAACTGATTTCATGTCTTTTCATTTTCATTCAATTTATGATATAATCCAAATTTGCTGGAAGGTGGCAGATATTTCAGTATGTATCTAATTCGCTTCCTCCTTTCCACTTAATGCGATTGAATGTTGGTGGAAGTTGTCTGTTCTTTGTAAAAACCGAACCGGAGGTAGATCCGGATTAATAAGAGGTTCAAGGTTTATTGGATAATCGTTGATTAATCGATATTAAAAACAAACCATAAACCGATGTTTGGCTCTAAATAAAAAGAAATAAAAATAGAACAAGAATAAAAAACAACCAAAACTGAAAAAAATAGTCAAAACCGGTAACTTTTTGTTCTTCCCGTTGCTTTTGTTACTTTATTTATTTATTTATTTATTAACTAAAAGAATGCAAAAGGGTTGGGGCTGTTTATTTATACCCAACCGCCCGTATATATGCCTTCGGTACCGGACTTGTGCCCGGGTCCAGTTTTTCCCGGTCTGATAGTCCGGTCCGGCCCGGTTTTCATAACATGGGTTACGATGGAAGCTGAACAATGTTGAAGATTGGTTCAAAGACTGCATTTTGCATTCGGTGTGGTGGCTAGTGTGGAAGGAAAGAAACCAAAGGGTTTTTGAAGACAAAGCTTCGACAGCGTATGCAGTAGCAAAAAGAGCAGCAAGAAATGTCATGGAAGAGATTGTAGCTCATGGGAAAATCGAAAATACGCAGGGAGAGAGCTGGCTTCGTGAAGTGGTACTTTGGGCCAAAACAAGTAAAAGTACATATGTACTGTGACTTCTAGTCGGCGATATATGATCTAATTTCAAATCATAGCAATGTTGTCAATTGTATTATTTGAAACTAGCTACTTATGATCTGGGCCTACTGATGATCCAATCAATAGTATCTTTGGGCCAGGATCCAATCACCTTTCACGTAAGCCTTGGGCCCACCATATTTTTGTTTCGTCTTTTCCGACTAATTTCAGATATTTGTTGAGCTAGCTAAGCTAGGCTAGCTAGCCGATCCAAAATGGAACATATTTTTCGGGTACGAATCGGGAAAAAAATTTCATGTATGAACTGAAACAAAACATCCTGAACTGCTGTAGTCTGTAGAGATGGTGGCGAGTGAAGGAATGAAAAGGAAACAACGGCAGGGTCGACCTGATGCATGTGCATGGGATGAATTATTAGTGTACTATATATATAACAATAATGCATTATGCTTCCCTACAAATGGGCCACCAATTATTCGTTCCATAATTTGTTTGCTTATAATTATTAAGACTATGAAAGTAGCTTGCCCATCGATACGGCGATGCCGATACCAATAATTCGTTTCAACCCCATCCTTACCAATTTTGGACCGTCATATATATATGGTTGTTTTTTGTAGGGTTTTGTAGTACATTATTCTTTCCCTTATGAAATTAGTTTGGTGAAAAAAATCATGCTTATACATGTGCATAAAATTAGTTTCGTGAAAGAAAAATCCTACTTATATTCAGTGGCGGACCTAGAAAATTTAAATAGGGTGTCCTTTTAAAAAATATTTCGGTAATTACCCTTTTATAAATTAAATTAAAACATTAAAAATATTTAAAAATATTAAATAAGAATATATTCAACTAGCTAGTACAAAGTTACACAAAAGTCATCCATGGGTTAACATATTTAGAAAAAAATTGTAATATTAATTACACTCACTGTCTACAGTGCTTAATAAATCTCTTTCAGTATATCCTACTAGACAATTATTCATGAACTAATAGCCTATTCGAATTTGAGACTTGTTCTTGATCAAACCCTAAGTTGGATAAGGTCCCTCAATACCGTTAAATCAATACAACTTTGAGGAGCAAATTGACCCACAGATATGATAGATTCAATTTGTCTCAACTATCAACTATAAATTTGAATCACATATACTACTACTACTAAATCTTTTAATTTTTTTTATACTCAAACTACTACAAGAGATTTATTAATTTTTCTCCCAAATTTTAGGGTGTCCCGGGACATCCCTAGCTTCCACCTGGTTCCGCCCCTGCTTATATCCAAATTCCAAAGGTAGGTGTTTGGTCAAAATTGATTGGTGTGTTGAAAACTCTTCAAACTGAGGTACTTGGTCCGTTGGTGATCGTTGTTTCACAATAGCCTTTCTACTATGCTTTAAAAGCATTGTTGTTTTGAGGTATAAATTGAACTTGTATCATAACATTAAAAGTACAAGTTCAATTTATACCATAATAAAATAAATATGAAGATATATAGGTACAAAACTAAATTTGTATCATATCATTGAAGTACAAGTTTGTACCATAAAAAAAATGAAAGCACCCGAGCGTTAAAACCATGGTAAAATTTCCCCTACCACAAACTTTTAAGGGGGAATCACGTGTGTCTATTGCTTATGTTCCAAATGCAATATTAATAAAAGCACAAAACTTTTAAGTGAGAAGCAACTTGTTTATAACTTTTAAGTTTACCATTATAACCCAATGTTGTGTGGATTGCTCAATAACGCAGCGATAAACGTCTCCTGGAGTAGTTTGAGTAACGAATGAAACGACAACGTCTGGTTTAGTGGTATTCCTCTTATCTCCTCTCCTTAGTTGGGTTCAAGTTTGTTTGTGCCCCCCTAGGGCTGTCGGTTCGGGTCGGGTCGGGTAACCGAACCCGAAAACCGCACAAAACCGAGAAACCGAAACCGGACCCTGCCAACCCGAAACCGAAACCGACCAGATGCTTTGCGGGTTTCGGGTACAAAAAACCGAGAAATAACCGCGATTTTGCTTGTGTTGCAAAGATGAACACTCTTCTGGGATTCAATCTCGTTAGCTTCCTCGCCTCTCCAACAACAGCGTCCAGAAAGTAGCTCCCGCTTGGAAACAATGGAAACCAATGACCGCGCGACATCTTCTATCCGCTTCAGGAGTTGGATTGGATTCCCAAACTCGTCCATCGCCGTTGTTACCACTCCAGAACGTCACTCAAAAAGAAACAAAAAACTTTATAATCCCGTTTTCTGTTTCACGTACTCTGGCAAACACAATCAAATGAGACGAATTTCTATCCGGCATTGTTCACACCAATACCATCCAAAATCAAGAACATATACCAACTAATTAATCCATAAGAGCTTCAATCACTACAATGCTTACCCATCCTACCACTGTGATAACAAAGATGAGTAGAGAAGAAAGGAGATGCCCCTTTTTAAAACTGAATTCCCAATTACACTCTACTTCCAGAACAACAGGCAGGGGAAACGAAAACAGAGCACTGAACACTAACTAAGCCCAGGGCAAACTGAATTCCCAATTACACTAACTTAGCTACGGTAACAACTAACAAGAACCCAGTAATAAATTGAAGCAATAGAAGAATTGTTCGAAGAGACTCACTGGGATTCCATGGCGAAGTGCAAACTCCGAAGAGGTGGCGTCTCCTTTGTCGAAGCTTCAAAGGGCTTGAGACCTGTAGAAATTAAAACTGAAAACGATGAAGCCAGGAGAGGAATCGACGAAGACAGGGAACTCTAAAACCATATCGGAAAAGGGTTGCGATACCCAGATGCGCCGGCGTCGACCCCCGACGGGGGAAGCTTCGATCTTGATTCTTGAACGAACGATTGAGTTCGCCGGCGACAGGGGGAGTCTCTGACTGCGCTGCAGTCTGCAGGGGGTAGGGTTGGCGATGGCCGATGGGTGTGTGTGGTGGCGACTGGCGATGCCGTGCGCTATGAAACTGCGAAAGATCCCTACAATGAAAACGTCACCATAGGAACTAAGCAACTGTTCGGTTTTTCGGGTTCCCTATCGGGTTTCGGGTTTATGAAACCGAAACCGACATGTACATTCTCAGGCTGAAACCGAAAAACCGAACCCACAGACAAATGCTGGCGGTTCGGGTTCGGGTTAAACCGAAAACCCGAAACCGTTTTGACAGCCCTACCCGCCCCCCCCCCCCCCAATTTAGTACCCAATCTTGGAGAGTAAGGAATCAAATGGATCGGAGCAGGAGGTACAGGCTTGGCAAAAATGTCGGCAAGGTGATTGTCAGATGCAACATGAAGTACTTTGATAATGTCAGTAAGTAGGTTGTCTCGAACCATAATAACAATTCGATTCGATGTGTTTGGTTCTTTCATGAAAAATGGAATTTTCTGTTATTTACACAATAGAAACTCGATCACATGTTGTGGATGAGGAACCT